TTTAACTTGGAATTGAGCATGGTTGTTTGCTTTGGAAACTACATTCATAAGGATAAAAGTTCGTAGAAGGAATCGTTTTAAAAATTTGTCCACAACTAGCCCATATTCGAGCATCTAGTTGCAGCTCATGACCTGCACTCCAGTGAATCAGCGAAACAGGGCAGTCATGTTCAAAAGATTGGTATGGTTCACTCAGGTGGAATCAGGGCATGTGTTTTATACCATTAAAAAACTAGAAGTGTCTAGTTTCTAATACCACTGACAGCACTCGATTTTGACATCGGAGTAAAAAGTTATGACCGAAACAAAAACACTGGCAGAGTAATACGGGACTCATTTCCAGCTTTGACAAATTTTCGAAAACTCAACATTTAATCATCCAAATCATGTAATTTTTTGTGGAAACCTTCCACACAACCCACACAACATGTATACATCATAAACAAGTCAATTGAACCACAAAAAAATGCACTAAGGGTCACGGTAATAACAAGGGCAGATTTGTCACTTCAACTCTCTCCTTTTGAGTTTTCCTTCACAACCCAACGTATTTCCACTAGATTAAGCACTAATCCAATATAAATAGCATCATATATCATCAAATCAATCCACCAAACTATTATGGAATTTCATAGAGCCCATACACCAAATTTTTAACATAAATAAAGTTACCCACATAAATATATGAGCTTATAAGTGCAATATAACTTGCATAAGTCAAGATTTGAGAGGTTGATCATCACTTACTTTCTTAGATGATCAAGGCAGAAATTTTGGTCCTTTTTGCTCAAAAAAAACTGTGAGAGCAAGCCCCTTTTCCTAACTTGAGCTGATCTCCAAGTGGTTAGTAAAGTGTATGTGAATTTTGAGGTGATTTGATGAAGATTTGAAGCAAGGATTGATGAAGAAAAATGAAGAACTTTGGTTGTTTTTCTCCTTGGATGGCCAACTGTCTTAGAGCAAGAGAGAGAGAGGTTTTGGCTGCAAATGAAGCTTCCAAGAGAAGCTAAAATGTGTGGCTCTAAATAGGTTCAAAAATCAACACTCTCTCCCGCGCGTACGCGCGCGTTTCGTGCTTAATTCCTCTCGAGTTTGTTTCACTTGTGCACTAAACCTCTAATGCACTTGTATTCCTACTATTATTATTCACTCTTAATGGTCTAAAAATAAGGGTCTAAAGTACCTCAATTAAATCGCGCGTGTAAAAACGCGTACTTCCAATTTGTGCGCGTAGAGTGAAATTTTTTCGAAATTCTTATAACGATAGTATCACTAACTAATACTTGAGTACTTAAACATAAAAATACCTATTTTAAAACTAGTGTATAAGTCTCCAATTTTTCAAGGTCATAGTACTCTCAAATCGCTTATTGTCTCCAAACGCGTATTAGCTGTTCTCACTTAACGAATTTTCAAAAATTAAATTTTGAAACGAGCTACTTTAAAAAAATACATGTGAGCTATTATTCTATGTAATTGAGTAATAAAAGGTCAAAATAAAATATTCTGAATAAATGGCCAAATAAATAATTAAATAAACTAGAAATAGGAAATTTAAATTAGTCAATTTTGCGAGTCCTCACATCCTCTCCCTCTTAAGAGAATTTCGTCCTCGAAATTTACCTTGATTCACGAACAGGTTTGGATACTTTTCTCGAATTGCTTCTTCAATTTTCCAGGTCGATTCCTCTAGTCCGTGGTTCCTCCAAAGAACTTTTACTAATGGTATCCGTTTATTTCTCAATTCTTTCACCTTCCTAACCAGAAGTTTTATCGGTTTCTCCTCGTAGGTCAAAATCACTTCAATCTCTATACTTTCCGGTTGTAAAATATGTAAAAGGTCTGGATGATACTTCTTAAGCATGGACACGTGGAAAATATTATGGATCCGAGACAGATTCGGTGGCAATTCCAACTTATACGCTACTTTTCCCACATGTTGGATAACCTTGTAAGGTCTTACAAATCTCGGTTGTAACTTCTTTCCCTTCCCAGACATTAAACTTGCTTTCAGAGGTGTAATTTTAAGAAATACTAGATCCCCAACCGCAAATTCTAAATCTTTTTTTCGGTTATCTGCGTAACTCTTTTGACGACTTTGTGCGGTCTGAATCCTCTGGCGCTCCAACTTCACCTTTTTCATTGGCCTCCTCGATCCAAGACACTGTAGTCGGGTCTAAAATCTTTCGTTCATCTATTTCATCCTAACAAATAAGAGATCTACACTTTCGACCATAAAATGCTTCATATGGAGCCATTTGAATAGAAGAGTGAAAATTATTGTTATAGGCAAATTCCACTAAAGTTATATACTTACTCCAACTCTCCCCAAAATCCAACACACAAGTCCTCAATATGTTCTCAAGGGTTTGAATTGTCCTCTCAGTCTGTCCATCGGTTTGGGGATGGTAAGTAGTACTAAAATTCAATTTAGTTCCCAACACTTTCTGCATCTTTTGCCAAAATTTCGAAACAAATCTCGAGTCTCTATTGGACACGATACTCACAGGTATTTCATGTAATATGATAATTTCATCCAAGTACAACTTAGCTAATTTCTCCAATGGGTATTTCATATTAATGGGCAGAAAATGAGCCGATTTGGTCAATCTATCCACTATCACCCAAATAGCATCATGGTCTCTTTGTGTGCTTGGTAACCCTTATACAAAATTCATAGTGATATTTTCCCATTTTCACTCGGTATCTCCAAAGATTGCAAAAGTTTCGATGGTTTCTGATGTTCGGCTTTTACTTGTTGACAAATCAAACAAGTCTGGACAAATTGAGCGATTTTCTTCTTCATGCTCTCCCACCAATTCTTGGTACATTTTATTCCCTTCAAGGTGTACCGTAAACTTCGATCGGTGTGCCTCTTCTAAAATTTTCTTTTTAAGCCCCTCGTCTTTTGGCACTACTATCCGATTCCGAAACCTTAATATACCATTTGATCCCAAGTTAAAATCCGACTTTTCTCCCTTTTTGACATTTTTCAACCACTTTTGCACTTCAGCGTCCTTTGCCTGAGATTCTTTGATACGCTCCAACAGAGTGGAATTCACTACAATTTTTTTCAAAATTACTTTTCTTAGTTCAGGTCTAGAATTTCAATAACTAATTTCCTCTAACAAGTGTAATTTCTTAATCATCAATCCGACCACTTGCACTTGACGACTTAGAGCATCGGCCACTACATTGGCTTTTCCTGGATGGTACATTATCGTTCAATCATAGTTTTCTAAAAATTTCATCCATCTACGTTGCCTCAGATTCAGCTCCTTTTGAGAAAATAAATACTTAAGGCTTTTGTGGTCAGTAAAAACCTCAAACGTCACTCCATACAGATAATGTCTCTATTTCTTCAAAGCAAACACTACAGCCGCTAACTCCAAATCATGAATCGGGTAATTTTCTTCGTGTGGTTTCAACTTCCTAGATGCATATGCTATCACTCTATCATTTTGCATTAAAACACATCCTAATCCTTCCTTACAAGCATCTGTGTAGACCACAAAATTATCCTTTCCATTTGGTAAAACTAACACAGGCGCTCTTGTCAAACATCTTTTCAACTCTTGGAAACTCTCTTCACACTTGGAACTCCAAACAAACTTCCCACTTTTCTAGGTCAACTCAGTCATGGGTCTAGCAATCCTAGAAAAATTCTGGATAAATCTCTGGTAATATCCTGCTAGTCCTATAAAATTTCGAACCTCTGTAGGGTTTTTCGGTCGTTTCCATTTTGAAACAGCTTCAACTTTACTTGGATCTATTTTAATCCTATATTTAGAAATTATGTGTCCCAAGAAAGTCACTTCTTTTAACCAAAATTCACACTTGCTAAACTTAGCACATAATTGGTGTTCCCTCAAAGTTTGTAAAATAATTCTCATATGTTTCTCGTGATCTTTCACATTTTTAGAGTATACTAAAATATCATCAATAAAGACCACCACAAATTGGTTTAGATAAGGATTAAAAACCCTATGCATTAAATTCATGAAAGCAGTAGGTGCATTGGTCAATCCAAATGGCATTACTGCAAACTCAAAGTGTCCATATCTCGAGTTAAAAGCAGTTTTGGGTATATCTTTCTCCAAAATCCACAATTGATAATAACCCTGTCTCAAATCCAATTTCGAGAATACTACCGTCCCTTGCAATTGATCAAACAATTCATCGATGTGGGGCAATGGGTACTTATTCTTGATAGTGACACCATTCAAGGTTCGGTAATCTATACATAACCTTAAACTCCCATCTTTTTTTTTAACAAACAAGACCGGGGCTCCCACAGTGAATCACTCTCCTTTATAAAACCCCGTTCCAACAAGTCTTGCAATTACAGATTCAATTCCTTCAATTCAGCCGGCGCCATTCTATATGGCGTCTTAGAGATAGGTGCTACTCCCGGAATCACATCAATCTTGAAAGTTATATCCCGTTCCGGGGGTAAAGATTCTAACTTTTCAAGAAAAATATCTGGGTAATCTTTCACTATAGGCATGTCTTCCAGATTCACTTTATCACTGGGGGTGTTGATTAGAAAAGCCAAATATCCCTGAACTCCTTTACTCAATATTTTCCTAGCTCAAATCCGTGAAATAAATGCAGATGAGACTAATCTATCTTTACATCCAATTTCATGGTTGCCTCTCCCGGAATGCATAATTCTACTATCTTTGTCTTACAATTCAACTGGGCATTGTAACGGGTTAACCAATCCATTCCTAAGATCATATCATATCCCTTAATTGCTAAACCTATCAAATCGGCCAATAATTTCCGTTCTCCAACTCAGTCTCACAATTTCTATATACCAAGTTAGCAATTAGACTTTGATCCCCAGTAAGCGTTTTAACTTCCAAGTCGTAAGGTAACTTAATTGGTTTCAAATCTATTCCACTCATGAAATTAGGGTTTACAAAAAAATGAGTCGCACCCGGATCAATTAAAATCTTAGTTAAGCGGTGAAAAATAGGAATTGTACCTTCAACCACCTCAGTCGCATCAGGTATTTGTTGGTGATCCAGTGCATAAACCCTAACCGGTACCTTAGGTCGGCTCCCTCCAGCACTAGTCTGCTTAGAGGTTGACTTTTCAGACCTCTGAGGGTTACCTCCCAATTTTGGTGCCTTTGGACAACCTGCGAGTTGGTGTTCGGCACTCCCACAAAATAGACATTTCCCCGACTTCCTCCAACAGTCATTCTTAGAATTGTTGGGTTTACCACAGTACCCACAAGTAAGTTGAAGGGTCACTGCCGATCCACTAGAAGGCGCTCTCCTAACTTGAACCGGTCCACCACGACCTCCTTTGGATAAAGCTCCCTTAGAAGCTCCTGCAGTCCTTGTTCCTTCCATTCCTCTTCCCATTTTGGAAGGCGTGCACTTTTACCAGATTGTCCAGAAGTGTGACTGGAAAAGTTTCTCTTCCTGTTGTGAAAGTTTTTAACTTGCATTCTGGTACTCTCAACCCTTTGTGCTTTCTCTAGAGGCTCAGTAAAAGTAGAGATTTGGGTTGTGGCTAAGCCCTCCTGGATTTTCATATTAAGTCCTTGTACAAACCGTCTTATCCGTTTTCGCTCATTAGTTACCAATTCAGGGGCATACTTGGAAAGTTTAGTGAACTTTCCTTCATATTCCGCTACACTAAGGGTCCCTTGTTTCAATTTGATGAACTCATCCTCTCTTTTCTTGGATCAAAGGCGGAAGGAATTTCTCATTAAACTCTCTCGTGAAATTCTCCCAAATCCAAGGGGTTTGGACTCTCTCCCACTTTCCCCTTACCACATCCCACCAAGTACGAGCCACTCCCTCAAATTGGAAAGCAGTAAAATTCACTAGCTTATCCTCAGTATAGTCTAGAGCGGCGAATATGTTGGTCATTCTCTCCAACCAATTCTTCGCTACCTCAGGATCGGGTTCACCAATAAATTTAGGCCGGTTAAACTTCAAAAATCTCTCTAGAGCTCTATCCTCTCCTCTATCCTGTCCCCCAGTTTGGTTAAATGGTTCATGACCTTGTCTTTCCGCTAAACGTTCTAGGATATCAGTCATCCTATTAATGGCAGTAGCCACCTGATTTCCCTCTACATTTTCCTGTCCCTGGGTCGGTCCAGTTGCCGATCCCTGGTCATCCCTATGAGGTTGGGCCTGTCTAGTCCCTCGCCCACGGTTTCGACCACTTCTTAGTCCTTCCATTATCCTAAGCATGTCTAGTGCAAGAAACAAATCAATTATGCAAGAAAAGTCAAAAACGAGAACCAATCAAGAAACATTGGAAATAATAATAATTTACATTCACTAACATTTCAAGTTCATATAATTAGCAAGTCATGGGGGAGATCACAAAAATATAGCACGTAAGTGCCACAAGAGTACTTTTAGTCACAAGAGACTAAAGTAAAAACAAGTGCCTCAAAAGTAGGCCACGCAATCATGCAAAATACAATGGTTTCAGCACTTAGCATCACCCCTGCTGATACTACCAATCCATTTTTCTTAACTACCTTTAAAAATATATTTAGATGTTTAAAATGTTGTTCTAATGATTTTGAAAATATTAACACATCATCAATATAGACTATACTAAATGAACTATAAGGGTTGAATATATCGTTCATTATATTTTGAAATTCTGAAGGCACATTTTTTAATCCAAATGGCATTATTTTTCATTCATAATGACCAAAAGGTGTTGTGAATGCTGTCTTATATCTATCTTCAGGAGTTATTATTATTTGCCAATACCATGATTTTAGATCAAATTTTGAAAATATTTTTGCATTATATAATCTATTCAATAAATCTTTTTTGTTTGGAATTGGATATCTAATCCATTGTAAAACTTTGTTTAATGGTTTATAATTAATAACTAATCTTGGGACTCCTCTTTCTTTTTCAACTTGATTCATTACATAAAAAGCTGCACAACTCCAAAGTGATTTCGAAGGTGTTATTAATCCTTTATCTATTAATGTTTTTATTTCTTTCTTACAAAATTCTAATAATTCGGTATTCATTTGTATAGGTCTAGCTTTTGTTGGAATATTTTTTTCATTAAAATCCTTTTCATAAGGTAATTTTATCACATGTTGTTTTTATCCCAAAAAGCATTCGGAATGTTTGCACAAACTTCTTTTTTAATTAATTCTTCTAATTCTGAAATTCTTTTTATTTTTATTTCTTTTAATTGTTCTTCAATTTTTAAATAAGTTTTTTCTTCCTTTATGTAAATTTTCTCCATTTGCTGCCATTAATGTTTCATTTGTTCTTTCACAATATTTAGTGGGAATTATTCCTTCTTTTATACAGCTCGAATCTGCTCCGCTATCTAATAAAGCTACACATGTTTCTTTGAAATCTTCTACTGTTATTGTGACTAAAGCATACCATTTTTGAAATGTTATTTTTTCTATTACATTTAAATATTGTTGTTCATTTTGTGATTCTTCTGAAATAATTATTTCTTCTGTTTTTAACAATTTTGAGGTAGAAGGTGGGTTTTCTAATAATGTCATTTTAGCTTCTATATCCAAATCATTAGTTTTTAATTCTATAATTTCTTGTTGTAATTATTTCACTTGAGTTTTTAAACTATTAATCTCAGTTTGAAGATCTTTAGTAGTTTCCTTTTTTATATTATTTATATTGGGATATTTATCTATTAATTTTGAAATGCTAAAAGGTTCAATTATTTTTGGCATCTTGTCTTCTTGTATGATTAAACTTTTTAATCTTTCTAAATATTCTTTTTTAGCTAAAGGATCATCAATTTTTTCTATTATATCTAATAAGAATTCTTTATCTTCCTTTTTTGTAATTACATTTATGTACTTTGGATTTGTAATTACATTTATGTTTTTTGGACTGTTAGAACAATTACAATTTTCTTCACTTTCTGAACTACTTATATCATTGTAATAATCATCTTCTATACTTTGTTCTTTTTCATTTATTAATAAATTTATTAATTTATTCTTTATATCTTCTTCTTCTGCACAGATTTCATTTATTTTTTCTTTCAATTTACATTTATTTGCTTTATGTCCTACTTTTCCACATTTATAGCAAACAATTTTCTTTTTATAAAATTTTTTATTTTTCTTTTTCTCATAATTTTCATCTTTATTAGATTTTTTATATCTTATATATTTTTGTCCTTTTTACTTTTCTTTTTATATGCTGATGATGATTTAATTCTTTTTATACCGAATGCTTCGTAAAATGACCCTACTTCTTTTGTTTTAGAACCATACTTAATCTGAAGTTTTAATTCTGAACATAATATTAAACCTTCCTTTTTCACAAAAGCAAATAATTGTCCAAAAGTAAGGTTTTCAAAGGAAATAACATCTGTTCCCATTTCTTTTTGTAAATTGTCCATAATTCTTTATGAGAATAGATTTGGTAATCCCGTAATAAATCTTTCTTTCCAAAATGAAGTATTACAATCTGGTTTTCTTAATACATTTGTTAAAAACATATCTTTATACCATCTAAAATCTGTCAAAGTTGGACATCTTAAATTTGTTAAAAATATTTTATTTGCATTTAACTCTTCTTTTGGATTTCCTACAAAATACATTACTATTGTTACAATTAAAAATTCTGCAGCATCCGATTGTACTTGAATGTTACCTTGATCATCTTCAATATCTTGTGTATGATCTAATATTGATAATTTATCTTGAAGTGTTAAAGTATTATCCCACCAATTTTTTAATTGTCCTGTAAATCCTGATACTAATAATGTTGTAATATTTCTTTCTTGAATATTTTTAAGCTTATAAGCTAATCTAGCCATTCCCATTTCTTGTAAAGTATTTAATACTTCATATTCTGCCTTTCCATCTATATTCCATTCATAAATTGAGTCTCCATCATATTTTGTAGTGTGGAATTTTGATCTTTCTTCATATTGAATATCTGGGGACTAGGTCTAGGATAATAATTTCTAGTGCTTACCATTTGCCAATCTTTTTTATTGCTCCTAAAATGTTTTCTTCTTCTTCTTTTATTTATTTGATTATCTCCTTCTTCTTTAAATTGATCTTTAATAGGTGAAATTATATCTTCATTACTTTCTGAATAACTTGATTCTTCTGATGATATTTCTTTATTTATTACAATTTCTAATGTACTTATTCTAGGAGTTTGAGTTTGAGCTTCTGTTGTTAAAGTCTGCAATGTTTGAGATATTCTATTTCATATATTATCTGTATTATTTATTCTTTGAGTATTAACACTTTGAATTGACTCTTGTTCTCTTTCTCTAGTCAAACTTCTTGGTTGAAAATGTGGTGCTGAAATATCATTAGGAAATCTAGTAACTAGTTTTTGAATACTGTCTATTTTTGTATTTATTACTTCTATATGTTGTGATATAGTATGAAGAATTTGATTTGTATAATTATTTTGCTAATATAATTTTTTAATATCTTCCAAATTTACATTACTACTAGTACTATTACTACTTGATTCAGCTTCTCTACCCTTTTTAAAGGGGGATGCAATTATATCTCCTTGTCCTATATTAATTTTTACCTCTTGTAATGGAGGATGAATTGACGTTATTACTTGATCGTCTTTTAATTTTTATTTTTTATATAAATTAGTTTGAACATTTATTTGTGAAGTATTGTATACATCAACTATTCCTAATTTTGATATATAAAACAAACAAATCCAGAAGATATTATAGAAGAAGCTGATGGAAAAGTTTTACTGAGATTTTCTTCGTTTAGAGAAAGACCTTCAACTTCAAGTCATTCATGGATACCAACTAGAAGATCCAGTTATGAATCAATTGATACCAATTTTACTCCAGAAAATTCTTCAACATTTAAGTTCAAAACTCCTGTACTAGAAGTAGTTAATCAGAATTAATCAGAATATTCTCCAACACATTCTCAAATGAAAGTAGAAATAAATGAAATAACTAGAGAATATAAGATAAATCATAAGTATTTACAAGAAGATTTTGACGATGAAGAAAATACAGAAAAAAGAATTTGGTTTTTTAAATTATCTTCTGAATATATAGAAAAATTAATATTAGAGTGGAAGAAAGAATTAGAAACTAGAAAGTTTGATTTTCCTTTCTTTACTTGGATGGGTCATCTGGTTGCCAAAAACATTTTGAAGGAAAAAGTCTTTGAGTAAAGGAATTGAGACTATTATAAATTAATTCTCACAGATACTCAATCTGTGGAAATTTTTCCTATTCCAGATAAAAAGAACCCAGAAATAATTAGCCATTCAAAATGCATCATAAAGAAAGTTTGTTCTCCCAATGAATGGACTTCTCTTTATTCAAAGAAATCCTTCTCAGTAAGATTCATTCCAGATGGATTCACTTATCAAGATTACAAAATGGCATGGTATCGTGCTTTTTTGTACAGACCTTTCAATCATTCATGGTTTTTCACATTCAAAGAAAGTTGCAGCAGAGAATTTCCAATTTGGTTCAATCATTGGTGGCAATGGTTTAGGCCTCAAAAAGATATTCTACCTCCAAACGTTTTAATGGGATTTCAAACCTATCTAAAAAAAGCAAAGAGGGAAGAATATACAATGTGACAGCCCCACCTCACCCTAAGGCGAACCAAAGGGTTCGGCGGACCGCCTGCCCAACTCTCGCCGGGACTATGGATCCGGAACAAACGGAAATCTTACCAAACGCTCAAAAGAGCTTCGAGAAGATAACATTCAGAACCCAATTGAGCCGAACTAAAAGATACAATAAGCTAATCACACCCTGAAATACTCGTTCTGAACGATAATACAGTGCTCGAGCGCTACAATGACCGATAAAAAAATGAAACGAAAAACGAAAACAAGCCGCGGATGAACAGTGACTGCCACATCACAATCCAACTAAGAACAAGTAAACTTTGCTTACCATGAGAGAATGTACATTCCCAAATACATAGGTCACATAAACATGAGGACACACTTTAAAATATACATATTAGTAAGTTTACAAATCCAAAAGGAAACAGTGTATTAAGATACATTTAGGGTTTCCAAATTGTCGAGGAGCTATACCAAAAGTA